CGTATTGGATGTTTGTAGTGGTCCGCTCTGTACAGGGTGATTCAAATTCGTGACACCATTGAGATCTCCGAACTTTTTTTCGGAGTATCTGGTATCATAATTTTAATAACACGCTAAATGCAGAAGCTACATGCTACTAGTTTATTTTTTTGTGTTCTTTATCTCATTCTGTAAAAGTCCAATATGGCGCCCATAAGAAATAAGACAGTGGTAACATGTAGCTTCTACATCTAGCGTGTTATGGAAATCCTGATAACAGAACATTCTCGAAAAAAGTACTGAAATGAAAATGCTAACGACGAAATGAAAAAGAAATTTGACATTTTCAGTTTTTCGGTGATATCTCAGTTATTTTCAAAGATTTTTCAAAAATTTCAAATGCGTTTTCATAGTCACAAAAAGGAGCAACTTTCCCCATTTAACCTTCCCTGTATCTCTCACCGGAGACCCCATGAATTTGAACCCGTACGAGGTGTGCTTTCGTATATGATTCCAAGGAGGATTCCAACTTGTATGCTTGTCATATTAATCCTCAAACGATTTTCCAGAGATTTGCTCAACAAATTAGATTTTATGGTATAGATAAAAATACGAACTACGTAAGTAACTGTTCGCAATATCGCTTCTATGTAAAAAAAAATATTATCTAACTTGATAAACATTGATCAGACATTCTGGTGTATTATTAATTAACGACCACATTTGCATTTTATTTCACCACTTATGACATCAACTGCAAAGAAATAACTTAAGAAGTAAATAAGTTATAAATAAATTATATGGACGTCCTTGCTTCCTGCAGGTGGAATTTTCATATGTTTATGCACCTACCTGGTGTGCTCACTGACTTGTTACGTCATGCTACGGTAAGTGTATCATGTGCTTCGTTCTCACGTTGTTGGGCCAAACAGAACCCTGGATTTTTTCCATTACGGAACGTCATCCAGTGTAGGTATCTTATATCCTCATTTATTATTTAACAGCACTCTATTATTTAAGTAAATTTGTCAAGGAAACTTTGCAATGCAAATTAATTACCTACCTACTTACATAAGCGCATTTTATGTGCAATTTTTAATCGAAGTACCCTACATTTAACAAACTATCCGTGCGTGGGAGTTTGATGACTTCCTTATAATGAGATTAATAACGAACATTAAATTTGCGCACGGTTCATAGTCAAATTAATTTCAGGGGCTTCTGTGTAATTTGAAGTGCGTCTTATTGTTGTTCGTGTAACTTCTATACAAAAGTTTACGTTAATTGGCGATTGATATTTCTTTGTTGATCTATTTCTTTCTTTGTAAAAGTTCATGCATCGCTAAATGCCAACACGGATGTGCATGTCGTGAAAGAAACCACTTTTTTTCTATTTGACAGTTACAATTTACTGTACTTTGACAACTTGCCGCAGTAATTGAAATTTCACTAAATTGGTTTCAGGTAGCGAATAATTTGTATCATTTATCTGTTATAGGCACTTTCATATTGTTAGTTGTGCAAATTGCAAAGCGATTTGTCTCTCTTTTAGCATTTCAAAGTTTAGGAATTTGATGCTTTTAGAAACTTTCCGAAAGGGAATTTACACACCATTTTGGAAAGTAAAAGTGTTACCCACATTTTCTGGGAAAATATGCTAAATCGGAATAAAACGCACAAAACTTATCGTGCAATCACGAATGGAAAACCATTCGCATTAAAATAAAATAAAAGATGAGATGGCTGTGGGAAATTGCAACAGCCTTTTTTAAAAGACGTGATTAATTCACTTGTGTAACTATGTGCGCATACAACGAGCACACTTCAGCATGCCATTATTGTAAGTCTACTAAATTTAACGAATTGCACAAAAATTAGACCAGGACCTATTCTGTTGGCAGCCGTGGTTATCTAGACAGACACCTCTAAGTAATCCTCAAATGATAAGTGGGAAATTGAAAATTAGAGATAGCGAAGACCTTCACAAAGTTCACAACACTTCCTGAACACGTTCTAAGAATTTCCAGAGATTTCCAAGCGATTCAAAACACTTCCAAGAATTCTAGAGAACATTTAGAGAACTCCTAGAGTCATGAAAACTTCTTGATAGAGACATTCAGAATTCCAAGTGAATAAAAGTTGAAACTCTAAAATGTTAAAAAACCTTCCGGTTCATCATGTTCTCCTGATAGTCAGGTACTGATACTCCGTGTATGAGGAACTGAAACACTTCTTCGAACCACATATTCTCCTGATAGAAGATTTGTGAAGGTTTAAGACAAAATAATGTGTTAAAACATTCCTCTGTGGTTATGGAAATAGACCGCCTCGTTGGTGATTTTCTCGTGGTAGCCAGAGACATTTTTCAAGAGTGTTAAATTATTAAAAGTACCTCGAGGAGTATATTATACTCTTCTGATATAAGATTTCTAAAAGTTTCATCCAAAATAAGGTGTTGCAATATTTCTTTTGGTGATGGAAAAAAGACCTCTTTGTCCATCATGTTATGCTGGTAGCCAGACAATTTTTTCGAGTTTTATGTCTCGATGGTTGACAATGTTAGACAGAAGAGCTCTACATATGACATGTTCCTCCTTACCTTTCCAACGAAGTCACATTTAGAAAAGAAAAAAATATTCGCACGAAAACGAGAAACTAAAAATGTCAAATTTCAGTCATTTCAAAGCCATACATAAATTATTGTAAAGTCTCTGACAATTCGGAATTTATTTTAGACGTCAAAGTAGCAAGCTTAGGTTCTGCCGTCGCGATCGTTTCCATAGAAACAGCATTGTCATATGTTCTGAACGATATTTTATATCGTGCTTCGCGGCCCATTTAAAATAAGAATGACAGATGTCATTATAATGCACAATCATATGTTTCACTTTTTATCTATCTTCGCGGTTTTAGCCTAGTAATTCAAACCTATTTAAATTGCAAATAAATAAAATAAACGTTAATAATATCTTTGAAAATCCTTAAAATGATTTTGAAACAATCCCTTTGAGTGCCGTTCAAAAAATATAGGATGAACCCAACATATTTTTTTCGTCCTACGTTTCTTACCACATAAAAGGTAAGACCGTTTTTACACGAGGATATAGTCCCTTGCAGAGTGGTATCTCGGATACGCCTGTAACATATTTCGGCTGCCGCAGTTGCCAAGTGCGTTACTGACCTTAGAGATAAAGAAAATGAAAACGAAATTTGACATTTTCAATTTTTCGGTGATATCTCAGTTACTTTCAAAGATTTTTCAGAAATCTCAAATGCATTTTTTTATTCATAAAAAGAGGCAACTTTGCGGAGATCCCAATGGTGAGCCACGAATTTGAACGATCCTGTACAATGCAAGTGTTCTTTGTGTTATTTTTGTACACTGGAACACCTCAAACATTATATGTTCCTGATGCTAGATTTGCAACCGTTTAAGCCAAAATATGGTATTAAAATATTTGTATTAGGTAATGGAAAATACATCCAATGTCTATCATGTTCTCCTGATAGCCAGAGAGATTTTCCCACACCATTGCAAA